GGCGCATCGAATTATGCGTTGCAAATAATGGGAATCATATTGAAAATATAATTTTTTAACATTGTGATTAAATAAAATTGTTTTGTTCTAAAGGTATGTATTTATCCCCTATGTACCCAGACTTCGTGGACACCCTGTAGTGTTCAGAAGAAGAAGGAGAAAGAGGAGGAGTAAGGAGACGTAGAGAATAAGAAACTAAGGAGATTTTGCTTAATTGATAAATGGTACTGGCTAGGAGAGGGGAGCAGGAACAGCCAAAGCTTGAGATCTAAAGCTCAAAAGAAACACCTCTTGACATTGAGCTAAAGGTCCTATCTCTGGGTTACGGACGCAGATCCAGAGACCCCCAATCGGTAATATTTGGAGACACATGAGAGAGATGTCTTCTAGCCTGCGCTGACGGTGAGACGGAATACGATAGCGGTGCTCTTATCCACCGCCCCAAACCCATACAAGTATCGTAGGCCCCTAAGCCACGATTTTAGGCTCCAGTGCCGAAGCGTGGAGGTCTGCTTATATAAGTAACCTCCACAACCAAGACGGACAATCGGTACTGTTTAAAAGTAAAAGCATGCCAGCTCCCCTATATTCTCTGGACACACACACATACACGCAGTTTTTATTTTCAGTAGAAAACACAAAGTAGTCAATGATACAATTTTACAAGATGCCATATAGAAGTCCTCCTTCACGTTTTTTTGTAAAACTGACATACAATGAGCTGCCTCGATTTTAGGACGGAAATAGCCAAATAAGCCAGGAATAGCCATTGCGTTTTTTATCGATAAAACATGCCAGCAAATGTAACATTATGAATCAAGTAATAATACGGTGCCACATTTATTGCCTAGTATCCTGATAATGGGCGACCCCGGAACACAGTGGGAGCAGTTACCAGGTGTTTTTAACTTCAGAATATAACCAAAATCATCATCACCACCAATTAGTACAACCGTGCCACAAAAGGAGGCTGGGAATGGGAACTATATTCTTTTAACTAAACTGAACTTATACCGGTAAGGGTGACGTGTATAGCTACCTAGACAGGACCCGGAACGGGAACCACTGACAATGAAGGTGGCTTTTTGGTAAAAATTCCGGGGAAAATAGGTTCAGGATTAAGGCTGGAGTTAGGGTCAGGATGATGGTTTAGGTTGGCGTTAGCTGTAGAGTTCAAGTTAAGGCTAAGGGTACATTCTAGTTTGATATTAGGATCAAGGCAGGGGGAATATTTACCCTTCCTGAAACTTAGCGCGAGGCCACGTACTTTAAGTGGGCGGGAGGCGTTCCTATTTCTGTGTCGTTTTTAGGCGGCCATACCCCTAAGAGGCAGGGCTTCAGATTAGCCAGGGGGAGGAGGATGTTGGCTTACAAAAACGCCTGCCTAAGGGTGGACTCGAGCTACGAGCGGTCGCTATTAGACACCTCAGCCGTCAGCGCTTTCGGCTAATTTGCTATCGAATAGGACTGTTTCACCGGTTTTTAATTAAAAAGTGGGGTGCGAGACAGACAGACAAGGAGAGAGGTGTTCACTTACGTAGG